CAATTACCCAGCTCATCAGAACCTCTCAGCCCCGATGGCCTGCTCCTCCTCAGACTCTCTGTGTCCAATTATTTAGAAACAGGGGGAAGAAGAGGAGGGGGGGGTGGGAGTGGGATCTGCAGAGGTGATGCAACGGCACTTAGCCTGACAGCGAAGTTTAGCGAGGAGGAAGGCGATGCCGTGTGATGTCGGGTAAATGTAAGAAAGCGGTGTTATTGGAGGAGGCGGAGGAGGAGTCAGATAAAAACCAGCACGTCTTCTCCGCTCTTTGAATTCGACCGAGGGATTGCAAACTATTTCGGCGGTGCAGCGCAGCCCCGGGGCGGGATCTGCCACCATCCCGGCGTCGGCCTACGTGATGAAAAAAGAGGCATGCTAATGAGCTAATGCACATCACCGTTCTGTCACCCGGCCGAGTTTCTGTGAAGCTGAACGGGGAGATTCAGTCTTCTTCTTTCTTCTACTTCTTCTACACAGACAGGGTGTGTTTTCTTTGCAAAAAAAAACTAACGGGGTTTCTCTGGATGTCTGCAGACACGTTGCCACTTTAAGGCCTCTGTGATTGATAGAGATGGATTGAAACTGGCGATTCAGCAGCCTGCAGCCAAACTGCCAACGCCGTTTATCTTCCCGGGCCTGCCAGCAATTCAGACGGATCTCTCTTTTCTTTTTCTTTTTTTTTTAATGAAGAAACAGATCAATTAAGTTGGGGTTGACTAAGCCAACTAAGACAACTTCAGGCCCAGCGACGGAAAGCTGGAGGCCGGGTGGACCGGGAAAACGGGAGCTCTCTGACATGTGTGTTGCTCATAGTTGGGAGTTTTGAGTCACCCGGGTTTTCTGCAACTCACATCCCGTCCCCTCCAACCCTCAAACCCTCCACCCTTCCTCCTCCACCGTCTCTCCCATAGTGGCGTGTTAATAATAGAAGAGCGGCAGCTCCGGAGTGTTGGATTTGGACTCCTCGGCCGGCTGATAACTCCCACATGTCACAACATCGGGGGCATGCGTCCGACTTGAAATTCGTGTTTTCCTCCAGCCTGCTGACAGGAAGGAAAACGCAGACTCTTCTCACAACAATAAAGGTCACCCTGGATCCTGACTCAGACGTCTTTGCTGGATGCCCCCATCCAGGGACGGAGGAATAACCGGACTGTCTGCCTCCCCCCCCCCTCCCTGTCCTGCTTTTGTTTGACCCAAACTACAGATGTACAGATAAACGTTAAGAGGCAACAGCATCCACAAACCAGGAAGGATTCCCCATGATGGGCTCCAAGTTCCTGGGCTGAATCATGACCAGTGACCCTGTCTTGAGCTCCCCGGACCAAGAAAAGTCCCAAGATTGGTGGCTTGGATTGGTCGTTGGTTTTCTATTTCCACTAAGTGCACCGTATACTGCTCCTGACATCGGTCACGCGCCGCGTTATTAGATGTAGTCGTCATTAATGTCAGCAGAAGACAAAAAATAAAAATCAATAAGATCGTCTGGCTGCGCCTCTGGTCGGTTGGTCAAGGCCAAGTGGTCCCTTTTGCTGGCTTCAGCTGGGTGGAAGCTTGGTACAAACAAAACTGCGCTGAAGTTTGTTGGTTTTTCTTTCTTTTTTTTTTACCTCAAAATTTTTAGAAGAATTTGCCAGCTGTGCGTGGAACCACTGATGGTGAGACTCTGTCCTCCGTTGTTGATGTTTTTTCTCAAGATCCCAAGATCTCAAGATGTTGTGGCGTCTAACCAGAGGCGTCTTCCGACCTTCTCATCATCCCGTCAATATCATAACCCATATCCCCCCCCCCAAACCACTACCCTCCCTCCCCCCTGTTCTGATCCACACGGTCATGGATCCACCACACGGGGTTTGGCGCACGCGGACTCCTGCCCTTTAAACCGTGCGTCCGGCCCGTGCCAAAAGCGTGCGCGCCCTGTGTTGTGGGATATGACCACACAACCGAGACGTTCACGCCGATCTCTGCCTCACGTGCGGCCATTTTTTCTGTTACTCATCTCCGGCATTGAGGCGCGAGCGCACTTACTACTAGAACCGGGCGTTATCCTTCCTCGTGGTATCCGGGAAGAGGAAAGACGCCCACCCCGAGTCCCACGGATCGGGACTCGCCTGGGGGTGAGGGGAGGGGGGGGTCCTGACAGCACCGTGGGGTCTACGAAGGGGGGGGGGACGAACCTCCCCTCCTGTCAAACTCCGCCGCTGCGCCTGTCTGAGCCTCTTTGTCCGGACATTTCCCCGTCACCCCGATGCGTGGATCCCGGATCGGCGCGTTTATTTATTTATTTGTTTTTTTAAAGATGCCACTCACCTGCGAATGGCGCGTGAGACTCGCGCGGGATGTACCCCCCCCTTTCCTCGCCGGCCCCGGCTGGACGTTCAGGTCCCGCTCAGCTGTCCGTCCTGGTCCCGCGGCAGACTACCGGAGAGAGCACGGTGCCAGTCAAAGCGCCGGCCACGCCCCCTCCCCCCCTGACGTCACGGCGCAGCGAACCAATAGCAGCGCAGGCCCATTACAACCCGCCTGAGTGACAACAATGCAAATAGTAAGTTGTTTTATCTCTCCCATTCACACAAAACGTTTAAAGGCCCTTTGAGAGGAACAGACTTCCAAGGGAGAAGAGCATTTTTTATTTTCAGGAATCTGCACGCGGTTTGAGTTTAAAAACTCCTTATGAAGCCACAGCTTTTGTCATTTCAATTGTTTTCTGTGTATTTACCAGTCATAATTTCCACACAGTCCTGGAGGTACATACATAGGACAAAGAGAAACAGAGAAAAGAAAAAATCCTATAATTATTTTCATATTTAGCCAAGTAACAGAAATAGATTCAATTCTTTTTTCCGGAAAGATTTCCACACTTTTATCCCAGATGTGTAATATTAGATAGGCCATTCGTTATGAATGAAAGACCAAGTTCAATGGGTGTATTTTCTTTGTTTAATCAGGCTCAGTTCATGAATTTCGTGAGCGGCTGTGATGTTCCTTTGGGTCACACAGCTATGCTGAGCTGTACTCCAAACACTGGAGAGGTTAAAGCACACTCAAGCACCACTGTATCACAAGCTTCTGCTGCGCAGCCATTTTCTGACCTCAGACAGATTAAAGGTGCAAAATTCAGTTGGAAATCAGCCTTAAGTAGCTTACGGCAAAAGTAACTTACATAATATTCCACTAATAAATTAACACAGGACATTTCATAGCTTTAAATCCTCGCCTCAGTGCACAGCCGCACGAAGTCGACTAATGTGATTAAAGTTATTTTTCCTGATTTAGTGTGTTTACTTTGATTGGTCATCAAATTATTACTGTTTCCCTCAGAGTATGGAGAGTATAACAGACAATAAGAGAGACCAAAAGAAAATAAGAGTCATTACCAAACAATGACCCAGCCTTGCTATTTAACTAATGAAAGGTTCCAAACTTATCTGGAAATGATAAAAATAATGTTTCACGATAGGAGCTCAAAGCATCCTCCCCTAAACATTTTGTCCTTGGGACTGATGTGTTTCCATTGGAGGCTGTTGAAAGTCTGCAAACCTCCTGATGCATGATTAGATTGTCAACCTGCAGCAGCTGCACTGTGCTGGTGAAATTGTGCCCTCATTCCCACCCAGATTTATTGGTAACGACCACAAGGGAGCGCCATTATCCCCCCATTTGGCAGTGGGCGCTGAGAACCAGCATGAATTTGCTTAACCATTAAGGCTCTTAAGACTGGGTGAATGTATGTTCGGTTCACTTGTGATATTTCTTTTTAACAGAGCTTTGCCGGGTTTTACAATTGTGGGTTTCATTTGGGAGGCACTGCAAGTACAAACGTGATCTTACCAAGTAGAAAATGCACCTTGCAGAGAAAAACATTTAAAATAGGAGAAACACGTTTTGATTAAAGGAAAAAATAATTAGGTAGTTGTACATTAAATCTCTCTAATTCTATTCTAAATTAAAATCATACCAGCACAGAGGTGCGGTACTCCAACTTCCTCCCACTGTCCAAAAACATGTAGGCTATGTTAGGCACTGTGACCCCATTGTGAATAAGCAGTATAATGGATGTATGGATCATACGTCCCATGCTTGTTTATACATTTACTTCTATTCTAATTTAGACACAGGGCTTGTTGCATTCCAACTAGTCACAATGATGAGGGCAAGAGTGGAATTGTGAGAGCCTTGTTTTCACGGGTGTTGTCTGGCTCTGTCATGAATTCTATTTCTCCGCTACTTTCTCTTTTCTCCTCTTGAGATAAACACAGGTTTAGCCACACTTTCCCCACCAGAAGACTGAAAAAAACACAGATCCAGGGAATTCTCTTTGTGTGGGCTGAGAATCATGACCTTCCACTTTATGCATCACCTTCAGTAAAATTGCAATAACAGACTCTTCAGGATTTTCTGGTGCAAGCAGCAGAAAATGTGTTGCACATAATGAAATCCTTTAGTATCCATATATTCGTTGTTAAAACGAAGATAAAAGACAAAGGATAAAGCAAAGGAAACACATAAACCACGTCAGCTCTTGGAATTTTTTAGATTTATCAATGGATGCTAATTAACAGCATCAGTATTACTTTCATATTTTATTTCTATTATGTTTCTATTTTTAAAATGTAATTATATTTTTACCAAAATGTAACAAATTAATGTCAAATGTGTATTCTACAGGTGTAATTGTATTTTTCAAGTTGTTCAATCCCAATTAAAGACAAATTATCAGACAACAAGCTCTTTGGCCCAGATACTCATTTAGGTTTTCTCTATTAAATAAGTCTCATTTGGGAAGTTAGTCCCTTATTAACTGTTTTTAATTCCTTTTAAGTGATTTTGTTTATTAATGGCCATCTTCATATCTTTAGGATTCCTCCTTTTCGGATATATATTTCTCAGAAAAAGACTTGACTTGTGGGCCTGTGCCACTAGTTTCCTTGAGAAATTCATGCATGCATTTTCCTCCAAAAGAAATGCCAAAAAGCCTTTTTTTTTTTTTTTCAAACATTGGACCTTTATTAGCACAGATATACAATATAATCAACACGCCCCTCCTCAGCTTTCCTCATTTGTTTCACAGATGATGTTTCTGAACAAACTATTTACAATGTTATGGGGCATAAGCAGTGTTGAGTGCAGCTGATGCATTGGGGTGAATGGTTGGAAAGCCTATATGTGTTGGCTCAAACTGGTGAGAAGGACGGAGGCAAAGAGGTCACTGGATGTAAGAGGGAAGAACTGACAGACGTGGAGGTCAGTGTATCAACGGTGGCGTCGAGTGGCTGAGAGCCAGCGCTGATGACCGATTCACCACAGTGATGGGTCATACCTGAGGGGAGAAAGATAAAGATAAAAAATCAGCCTCCAGTGCAGCTGCAGAGAAGATCTACCGGAGCGCGTTACCACACCTTGACTGTGGAAGCGTGTCTCTACTTTCCTTCAGGAGCAGCTCTGAGACCAGTGTGTCCAGAGTCTCAGGACTGGATCTCTTCCCATACCTGACTCACACAGACAGACAAGGCAGAGAGGTGGTGGCTTAAAAATGCATCTTTCCTTCATTATGGTTGTCATGTAGATAGCACAGACTCGCACAAAAAAAAATTCTACATTGTAAGTTCAGTGAAAAGTCAGAGAGAAATCTGGGAGATACGGGCGTTGGCTGCATTGCAGGTGGTCTTAATCCATTTCTGTGTCTGTTTGATGAGTGCTATCTGAGCCATGGGTGGCTGAACACCAGCGGAGGCATCAAAATCCCAGACGTTCAGAAGAAAGCAGAAAAGCTGTGGGTGACTTGACATGATGTGCTGCGCCGTGACAGAAGTTTATCTTCATCTTTTCCATGACACAAAGCCCCCACACATGCACGGACACATTTTTTTTCTAAATAAGTCCATCTATCTATCTATCTATCTATCTATCTATCTATCTATCTATCTATC